TCAGTCTGGTATTATGATCCCAGGGTAAAGCTTCCAAAGCTTTAATATAAAGTATCCTGACATGCTTTTAAAGATTAATTTGGCCTTTCCTCTCAAACCCAAAAGCAAAGTCCTAGAAAGGATTCCATCAGATTTCTTTCCCAAGGAAAGATTCAAATTTAAGAGAGGCTAAAAAAGTGCTTAATCAGGTTTTTCTAATAGAAATAACATACAAAATATTATCAATGTAAAAAATACAACTTTATTCTTTCCTGCTTTGACAGTGATTATAAAAGACCCCACAGACTGCCTGATACAATCTCAGTGCCAGGTCATTAAAAATTCTCACTAAAAACACTTAGGCTGAGCTTTCTGGGAGTCCTGTACATTGAATGAACAAGCTTCAGCTCAGAAAATTAAACACTGAACTTTAGGACAAGTAAGCATGACTCAGGGGGTCTTGGGCAAATGGAAATGTTCGCTGGGCACAATGAAAGAATAAGAAAGACATGGAGCAAAGTAGTTTGTTTCTGTGTAGAATCATAAATAGAAATCTTTGGTCTTGACCATGTAATTGAAAGGGAACATAAGCTGAGGAAAGGAAATAATGAATTTTCTGAGGATCAAATGAGAGTCAATCGAGATGATGGTGATAATAATAATAGTAATAATAATAATAATAATAAACACATATATTGCTTTAAGATTTGCAAAGCACTGTAATATCTCATCTGATCCTCACAACCATCTGAGGAGGTACATGCTATTATTATCGCCATTTTAGAGATGATGAAACTGAGGCAGAGAGAAGTGAAGTGATTTGCTGAGGGTCACACAGCTGGTCTGTCTATTGGAACACAGGTCTTTCTAACTCCAAGTCTTGTGCTTTTGACCACTATACCACCTAGCTTGAAGATATTCCAATTAAGATTATAGGATGACAGAACTAAAAGATATATTTGAGATCAGCTAGGACATTCCCCTCATTTTCCAGATATGAAAACTGAGGCCCAGAAAGGGAAAGCAACTTGATAAGGACATGCAGCTTTGGTAGATTTAGAACCTAGAACCCAGCTCTTCTAACCCCAAGTCCAGTATCCACTCCAGTACAGCACATTGTATTGAATAAGGATAGGAGGAGACTCTTATCTATTTTAATTGACATTATTAGTCATAGGAACATCATATAATCCAAAGAATCAGATGAGATAAGTAATATAGCAGCACTAGAGAAAGGTAGAAATTAGATGATGATCAATTAAATTTTGGACTCCGCCCAAGAAACATCGGTATTCAGCTGCCGGTCTTCAAACCCAGAAACTCGGCACTTGAATAAACTGTAATTATAAAATAGGTTAGACTTTTTTCCTTCTGAAGTAAAGTGAGAGTAAGCAGTCCAAGTGAACAAGCAGCGTCAGCCTGGGGAGACGGAATAATTGGTGTTTTATATGGGTCAGCCCTGACATTTTTTGTCAGTTACTTGGCTAAGGATGAGTTGTGAGGATAACAAAGGACACTGGGGTGTGAGGAGCGGTCAGCACTCTGAAAGGGAGGCTAAGCTTTCAAATAATTCTTTTAAATTATAGAAGTATTTGGGAACAAAGAATGGAGGCAGCCTGAGGAACACATTGAACGAAAAGAGGCAAGTCCGATGCGTAGTGGGACAGGACTTGAAAAGACTTCTAACAGCTAACAGATTGAATATCTCTGTCAATGTCATGCTTTTGTTTAAAAAATAATAATAAAAATCAACACAGCATCAACATTTTTGGAGGATTAGGATTCTAAGATCATTAGAACTGGAAGGACCTCAGAGTCATTCCGTCCCATTCCCTTATTTTACAAATGAGGAAACTAATACCCAAAGAAGTGAAATGTCTTGCCCTGGGTTGTGCAGATAGAATTTAGCAAAAACATAGAAAATATTGAGAACTTACACAAGAAAGATTTTAAGATTATCAAAGGATTGGGGCAGGAGTGGGAGAAATTTGAGGAAAAAATGACAAGAGAGATTGAACCAGATGTTCTGCATCTTCAGTAATGACTGGACAAGATGAAATGGGTACTAGGTGCCTGATGTATCGAGGTTAGGCAGAAGGGTGAATCTCATGACCAGGAAGGTAGCTAAGCATTCTACCTGGGAGCACATCAACAATGACCTATAACAAGCACTTGTGGAGCACCTAATTCTCCAGAGATGAAGATGATAAGCCTTTGAGAAGTTTACAACGTAGATAAGCGTAGAACTTTATCTGCCTGACCAAAGGAAGTGAGTTGGACTACATTAAAATATGGAAAGCCTTTCCTGTCTTTGACTCTGGCTTCTTCCCTCTCCAAAGTGCTTGGTTTGTAAAGCACCGAGTCTTAGAATATTCCCCAGAAGGATAAAGAATGACACTCGAATACTGAAAAAAAAATGAAGCCGTGTAACGATGGATAAAATGTGACCAGCAATGTGGAAAAGAAAATTGTATTTTAGTGAACCAGAAAATTACAGAGTTTCATTAATAGTAGGATAATCAAATCCTTTAAGAGAGGAGTCCTTTTTGGAAAATGATAATGGAAGAGATGATTATCATTATCATTTCAATATTGTCTTCACTATTTATTTAAATCCAGTTCAATGAATGTCACATTTCATTTAGCCTACAAAGATTGTGACCAGAGTAGCATGGAATTCTTGGGCATTACAAGGATTTGATGATTGAGGCATTTTTATTGATAACATCATTACTATGTCCAGTATAACCCAGAGGGGAAATTTTGGCCATGGCAGGACAAAGCCCAAAACTTTTATCGAGAGGCCATTTCCCCCCCAAGCATTGATGAAATTAGTCAACTAGTGAGATAGGTGTCAGAAGTAAAACAGAATATGATTTAAGAGACTAAAAGAGATAAGTTTAGTTGAGAAAAGAAGTGTTCACCTTTTATGTTTGATACCTCAGACACAGAGGAAGACATGATAGTTTTCTTTATTTTGGGAACATATGTGGTCATTACCAAGTTGAGTCATTGTGTATATTTTAAATGGGTGTTTAGAAGAAACACATTCATTATTTACATGTGCACTCGAGCTAAAAATGCACATCTAATGAGGAATACTAATATCTTTTATCATAATCAGAAATAGATTGAAATTCTACAACTCAGAATTTTTTTGATCTTTAGTTTAAAATTGCTTCTAAAGTCATATATAATACAATGTTGAAATAACTCCAAGAAGAAGGCATGTTATTATTAAAGAAAACAAATGAACAAAATTTTTTAAAAATCTAATTACAATGTGGGACTCAGCATAAATCAAATACAGCAAATACAAATCAAAATTTAGCATCAGCATGTTTTCTTAAAGCCTAGCTTAAGCAAATCACAGAACATTACGAATATAAGAGGCAAAAAGAATGATAGAATCAGTCATTTAATTTATACCTCTGCATAGAGAACAATTAAAATCCAATTCTTTGTAAGACGTTCAACCTGATACCGATTTCATCTTTAGATTCACAACAGCTTTGGAACTGAACCACATTAAGTTGTGGTCACGCTTCTCAACCCAGCTACACATTGGGAAATGATCAAATGATCATTTGGTACAGATGAAGAGTTGAGTGAAAGGTATTAACACCCAAGATGACCTGAGGATAATGAAAACTTAAAATTGGATCATAGAATCATAGGATTATGGATTTAGAGCAAGAAGGGACATTGGAGGTCATCTATTTCAATCCTGTCTTTTATAGATGAGGAAACCAAAGCTCAGAGAAGATAAGGGACTTGCTCAGATCACATGGTTATTAAGTGTCTCAGGTTGAAAGTTCTGGTATCTACTCATCTTTCTCTAAGAAAGACCTCATAGAAAACAAATGAGAGTGCTTCCAGTCTTCAGTCTACAATTTAGTCTAGCGTTGAACGTTGCTTTTTGTTAGAACCTGGAAGAGACGTTGCAGGTCATCTCATCTTTACCATTCCTTTTACAGATAAGTAAACTGAGGCCCAGAGAGGTGAAATTCATATATCTATCTTAATCTAAATCCCATCTGGTATATTTTTAATTTTATTTTTTCCTGTTTTTGTCTATCCTCAAAGAAAATGGAAAACTGTTGTCACCATCCTTATATACCCCTTCTCCACTCCAGTAGAAAGTTACTAAACCATTCCTCAACTATCTCTTCTTTAGGTTAAATAATTCCACTTTTTATCCTTCTTCACACATCTGATATTCCAAAAATTTAGTTACTTTTTGGTTTCTCCACTGAATCATATTCCATTTATTTACTTTTCTTTTAAGCAGATTGTGAAGGCCAGAAAGGAACACAGAACCCTAATAAGGCTGTAGTTGTATCAAATAATAGAACAAGCGGGAGAGAGTAATTTATTCTTTTAAGATAGGGGTTCTTAACCTTTTTTGTGTTATGGACACCTTTGGCAGTTTGGTGAAACCTTTGAACCTCTTCTCAGAATAATGTTTCAAATGCATAAAATAAAATGCATAGGATTACCAAGGAATCCAGTTATGTTGAAATCTAGTTATCAAAATATGTTTTTAAAAATCAAACAAAGTCATAGACCCTGGCTTAAGAACCCCTATTTTAAGATTCTTTCAGTATGTGGGAATCATGAAGATGAGTTTCTTCGGCCCAATGGTAAAGCTGTACTCATCTGCCCCAAGTTTTTCTACTCTAAAACCTTTCATTTGAAATGAATTGATTGTTAAATATAAAGGTGAAATTAAGACTTGTGAAGATAATGGGGGCTAACTTACCAAAACGGAGCACTTCATCTTTTTGAAAGAGTGTAAGGCTGTTTTAACCAACCATTTCAGCATGGCATTAGTGGCCCTTTCAAATACTTGCCTTGAGAATGACTTTCATTTGTCACCTTTAGTAATAATCTTGTGTGTTATGATAGACTTAATTCCTATAGATCATTAGCCCTACCTCTTTTTTTCCTGAACTAATATTTGTATATGTCTGTGTACGTGTGTCTTGTTTTCTGACTTTAAAATGTTTATTATGCTTTAGACAATTACCCCAGGGAGATTATGTAAAAAAGCCTGGAGATGCCGATTCTTTTTATAGCGACATGCCTCCGGGAGTCAGCACAAACTCAGCATCTAGTTCTAAGAAGAGGTCTGCTTTTCTGTCGCATTTTCAGATTTCTACCTGTTCCATCCCACATTATTCCATTAGTCAGAACATTTCATTATTTTGCAGCAGGTTTGATTACTTCTTCCTTCTTTCTGGAATGTTATAAATGGTATCCCTTGTTCTTTGATTACATGCATGAGTTCTGGGGCTACTCTCGAGTACCCTATGCTCCAAACTGCCTGTTTTCATAATCAAATGAGTAAAAATCAAATCAATGAAAAACAACTTCATGTACATAGCAACCCAAGAGGGTGTTGAACAATCTATTTCTCATATGTCTCCAGAAAAGATAGTGTTCGCTGACATTTTAAATGGTGGGTTTCACATCATGGTCTTGTAGTCAAAGAAAAAGGTTACTATCATGCTTCAATAAAAAGCAATAAATAAACTTATAGTAATAATGCTGTTTAGAAAATTCTTTAAATACTATGCTGTGTTTTTGAAAGCAAAGCTAGACATGAAGCAAAGATTGTTATGAAATGTGCTTTTGAATGTTGCGTTAAGGATTGCTAGTTTTGCATTTTATTCCTGGAATGATCTTTCCTAGACGTATGCAACTTTGAGCTTAGTGCTAGCTTAACTAGTTTGATGTGTGTTTGCCAGCATTCATATCAATACAGTATGGGTAGATGCATTATTCATCTGTTCTTTAGAGTTTGATATCATATTTTTGCTCCAAGTTCATAAAATACATAAATAGCTCTTAAAATTCTGCATGATTTATAATTACCCAGATGGGTAAAATGAGGGAAAACAGAAATTGCTGGAATGCTTTAGGAAATGTGTATAATTGTGAGCCTGTTTTCATGGTGAAAGAAAACTGCTCCATAGAAGACTTTCATTAATTGGTAATGGGGAGGAGGGGAAGTGGAGGGGGGAAATAGTATACATATGTATATATATATATTAACACCTTATGTGTTACCTTTGGAATGGTAGTGATTTTGGATTGTGAAAGCAATTGCTATTCTACTGACAGAAAGAAGGCAAGTAAAGTGATAGACAGAATTTTAAAGCTGGAAGGGACTTAAAATTCTATGATCTCTAGCCTTATTATCTTCTTTCTGTTAGCAAATGGGATCACTTCTGAAACTGTTGATATTATAAAACACCTTCCCTGTCTCTCCCCAATTTTTTTTCCCACAATAGATCTTACTCATCAAAAACACATATGAATAAGCAATAAAAGTAGTAAGTTTGGTGAGGTATGGAAACCTTTTAAAAACTGCCCAGGAACTCTGCTTTTTCATTTTAATGTTATATTTCATTATAATAAGTTACTGTATACCCAGAAGAGAAAAGATAGTTTCTACATAAGGAATGTAGAATTTGAAAAGGGAGCAAAGAGAGTGTGTGGTTTTTTTTTTTTGTGGATTTTTTTGTTGTTATTGTTGTTTTGGGTTGTTTTTTGTTTTGTTTTGTTTTGGGACTTTTTCTTTTGAGAGAGGGGACAGGTGTAGTTAAAGGAGACAAGGATTTGGGCTGCTTCTATTTTCCGTAGCAAAGACATATTTTCTCCATAAAACAGTTTTAAATTAAGTAATATAGTAGATAAATGGAGGGAGTTGAGTAGATTCCAGTGGCATTTCTGTTATTGTTGCCCCAAATAGGACACCACTTAATTAGCCAATAATGGTGAAGAATGTTATCTTAACTTCAGAGAACCAATAATGTATTGGTGCATGGTATGTCCAGTTAACTACTTGATCAGAAATAGTTTAATAAGAAGTCTCCCTTTTAAGGGAAGATTTGTAAAAATTTTCCATCATGATATATGATGTTTGAAGCATGATACCATTTTCTAAAGCACAAAAGCAGTCACCAGAAAGAGCTGAAAAAGCATTTGGGTGGTTCCCAGAACTTCCTCAAGACCCAAGGTTGCAAATCTTAAGCAGCTTGGAAAAGTATGTTGAGTATTTTGACCCTTCCTCCATGCTACTGGGTGTGTAGAATGTCATGAAGCGGTTCTTGTGTGATACCACGTAGGTCTTGTCCATTTTGTTACTAACAGATATTCCATTTCAAGATGATGAGACACAAGTACGCAAATGGTAGTAAAGTGGTTAATGGAGCCAACCCACAAAGGTGTCCATGATCCATGGCTAACCAAGTTCATTGGCATTTATTTAATGAGTCAGTAGACTTTTTAGATGATATTGGTGGAGGAAACTCCATTCATTGAGGGCAGGGGGAACTGACTTACTTTCTAAGGAAAAAACAGTATCACCTTTATGGCTTAATCATATTTGTCTTGAGTAAATCTTAATCAAACTCTATCATGGCCTTATACTTAAGAAACAAGTACAGCAGGACCTCTTTATAACCCTGGTATTGGTAAACAGTACTAACCTGTTATAAGCAAATGGATTGTATCAAGCTTTTTGCTGTACATTATAAGCATAATCAGAAGTTGTATATCCAAGTCTATTTAATAACGAACATGTTAGCCGGGCATGATGGCGTACACGCCTGCGATCCCTGCTACTGGGGAGCCCGAGCCCAGGAGTACTGAGCAGTAGTAGGGCTAAAGCTGAGCAGGTGTCTCCATTAAGCCTTTTACCAATATGGTGAGTTCCTGGGAGTGAGACCACCAGGCTACCTAAGGAGGGACAAACAGGCTCAGGTTAGAAGTGGAATACGTTAAAGCTTGCATACTGATCAGCATTTATTGGGATCGGGCCTGTGAGTGGTCACTGCATTTCCAGCCTGGATGAGATGATAATAATAACGACAATAACAACAACAACAATAATAATAACCATGTTATAATGGGGTTCCTTTGTATTTGAATTTTCTTAAATTGATTTTTTGTGCAATTCTATTCTTCATGAAATACTTTTTATTTCTCTTCATTCTTTCATTTTCCCAGATTATTAATTTAGTTTTGCTTCTTTTATGTATTATGTGATGATATAAGCAGTTTTGTTTACTGATCTCAAACTAGGAAAGCTAAGAAGAAGGGAGGTAAACATTACATGCCCATTTCAATTTCAGGTCAAATGGACTCTCCCATTCCTGGAGTGAAAGGATTCCAGATACAAAACATATTTCAGACATCTGTGAAAATGGAAGACCTCGAAGTAACTCATGGCAGGGTAAGGAAAATTGAAATCTCTTTGTAAGCCCACCCCAAGTTTCTTTTCAGTTGGGCTGACTTGTTTCTTATTAGCATCTCTCTCTCTATTCCTTTTCCCTTATAAGACCATTAAGGTCAACAATCCACCAATCAAGGAGCATTTATAAATCACCTACTGTGTGCCTGGCAGGGGAAAGGAAATATGGTATGAGAACCCAAGCTGTTTTTACTTGGAATAGGAGTATAACCCTTATTAATGATAAATGTAAGAGGATTTAACAGCTAGAGCACACTATGTAACTAGAGATGGCTGTAGGATGCTTTGAAATGCATATCTGATTGAGGAAAGCGGTTTTCTGAATTTGAAACTCTAGCAAATAGATCTAAAATAATATTCATTTACATGTATACTTACCTAAATCATCTATCTCCAACCCATCTTTTTCAGGTAATCTAGGAGGCAACAGAAAGAAAGTCAGAGGCAAAAGATTTAGACCACGATCTAATTCAACTGAGTAAGTCTGACCTTCTAATGATTAAAAGGAGGCTCCTGAGGAGTTCCTTGTGATTTGTTCTAAAGAAAATGGGTCGATCATTTACAAGTTAATTGATCATCTGGTCAAAGAAGTAGAAACCAATGTTTTGGTATAATCTGTTTTATTCTTACTTTTTAATTCTCTTTTTGCCCTTGGAAAATTAACCATAACTCTTCTTTTTCACATAGGCATCTTCGCAACTGTGCCCATAGCAATACTCAATGACAATGAGGGTCTCTACCCTTGTTGCAGGCTTAATTCTACAGTGACTTTCCTTCGTGGTGTCTTGGTTCAGTGTTTGAAGGGAATGCTGCTAACTTTCCTTTTTTATTTTTTTTTTCTTTTCATCACACTGGGTTCAACCATTCCAGAGAGATAACTCTCTTTTTCTCCCCAATACTCGCTCCCACCTTGAAAGCATTAGGAAAGAGTCCAACTATACTTGGATGGTCTCCCAGCTTGAAGCTGCTGCTCAGAGATTTTCATGGCTGCAATCTAAGCATTCTCTCAGACTAGTCAAAATAAAGCGTTACTATCACACGTAAGACTATTTACATTTTTTCCTGCTCCTTAAGATGCATTGACATTTTTGAACATAGCATTGTACATAAGATTGTACATGCAAAAAACTAAATGAGAGAGGAAGAAGTTCACACTAAAATATTTTAGAACAATGTAATCACCTTGTACCCTTTTCTGTCTCTCTTTTTAAATATATATTTTTAAATATATATATACATATATATATAAAACCAAGCTTAATTAAATTCTTCAGCAACCTTTCTGGAATCAAGCATAGCCCTAATCTGTATCTTTATATATAAATGCTTATCACCCAGTTCAATTTCTATTATCCTTGTCCCCTAACAGAATCTTTACTTCTCTCCAGAATCACACCTGCTATTTCATACCTTACTAATGATTTTTTTGGTTGGTTTTGTTTTAGGAAAAAAAAAAAAGCCTGAATATCAAGTATTTTGTTAACTGCTTGCTAGAAACTTACGTTAGCATTTCCATCATATACCCTACCTTTTTTAGTCCAGGTATAATAACATTGCCCTGAAATTTGGATCTTCCAAGCTGAATGGTATTGTCTGTAAGTGGCTTGTCAAAGTTTGTACAGAGGATTTGTTATCCACTGGGAAATAATGGGCAATTCAAGTAATTCCATTGCATGATTCAGAATGGCAATAGAAAATGACACCATTAACTCCCAAGCTCTGAGAGTTTATTTTACACACTCCCAAAGCACTTGGGTGCTTTAGGTCTTACTGTTGATAAACTCTTCTTGGAATGTTGTTTGGTTTGGTTTTTTTGCATGGGGCTACACGATATAATACCTAAGCTAAGAGTTACCTAGCTGTGTTTCATCCAGTTGCTCCCTAGAGTGAAACAGATAAAAGGCAAATTTTTGTCTATTATTTTCGTTATGTGCTCTTTAATTTTCCAACTGTATTTCCTATAACAAGGCTTAAAGATCTCTAAAATTGGGGATGAAAGGGATGACAATGACATTAGAATAAAGCCACGGGTTTAGGGACCAAAGAGTTATTTAGTTTTTATCAGTACTTAAGGGATAAAGTAGGGTTAATATAACACTTTTCTAGAGTAATCACATGATTATCTTTTGTTATAAATTTCCCAAAGCCTTGTTAAAAAAAAATAACCTGATGCCACAAATAACTTTTGAAAAACTTTGTCTGGGAGCTCATCAAGTGTAAAAAGAGAAATTGGCCATGAGTCATCTTTGTAGGTGAGAAACAAACCAACTGGCAAAATTTCAAAGAATTTTCATTGATTTTCCAAAATGTGGTCCTGCATTTATTTTCCTTTAATAATACACTTAATAACATACTTCCCCTTAAAAATAATAACGATATAACAATAATAATACCAAGCCTTTGGAAACTGATCACTTATTATCTCATGTACCCTTTTTATATCTAAACAATTTCAATAAAGAGATAAAAACTTGTTCATAGGCATCCTTGCTCCATGTGGATTCCACTGACACCTTTAAATAGCTACTGTTTTCCAGATTTATTGGGTACTTCCCCCCTCCCCTCACTTTTGATATAGTAATATCAGTTGGGTAACTATGATAAGAACAGAACGTTAGGCATCAGGTGGGGCTTTCCTCTCATAGTTAGGCACATTCCACAGATGAGGGAATCTTCTTAAGTTTGACTTGTAGAGGGCCTCATTTGGAAGAGTAGGATTCTGCTGAAAGTGGTAAGGCAAGCCAATGGAATGCCCTTATCCCGAGGAGTACAACATGAAGACATGTGCTTTGCTGATTGACAGCCTGTGGTATCTTTGTTAAATCTGCATTGTTTTTCCTCAAAGCGTATACATCTTCCTCACTGTTGTACATAATACTGACCTTTTTTTTTTTTTTGGCTTAGACTTTCTATTATATATTGTGTTTTTGCAGGAGGGAGCCCCAAGCATCCGAGCCTGGGCACTCCCTCGACCAGCCAATCCCAACCCAAGGCATAAGCCCAGGGCTTTCCGACCCCCCCTTGACAGGGAGTCAGGACCACAGGTCAGTTTCCATCTGCCCCTTTATTCTGGGCTACCAATCAATTCTCCTCGAAGTCTTTTCCTTATCTGAGCTCAGTTATTTGATTTATGATGAAGCCCCCTGTGACTGCTTGGAGATGTTCCTGATGCAGCCGGCGCTAGCTAAGCTCTCCCTGCCTTTCCAGCCTGAAGAATTAAAAAACAAAAACCAAAAAAATTCTCAAGCCTGGGTATGAGGCATTTCTCTGCATGCTGCGCTATGAGGCCAAGTTAAGTCATGTAGGCCAAGTAGGTAGGTTTCAGGGCAATTTTATTTAATTCCATCAATCCACCATGCCTTGAGATAATTGGGATGATAACTGCAAATGCTTAATGGGCAGATCCCTAAAAGAAGCAAGTGAAAGGCTCTATTCCACGGCCTTAAGTAAAGAGATTCCAACTCTCTGAAATGCTACCCAGTTGGAAAGGGTGAAGCTGACCTTGTGAATGTCAAGCCTTGTAGATTTAAGCTCCTTCTTATAGCCATTGTCCTGATGATTTGTCCATCGAATGAATTTGCATTTGAAGCGCAGGGAGCAAACTGGCCTTCAGGTCCCTGAAGTTGCAGGGGGCCTGTGAGTGTCTCGGTTCGTGGTATGGCTATGTCAGTGTCTTACCTGGTAACAGCTGCATGGGCTTTCTCTAATATCCTCCCCCAGCCCAGAGCTTTAACTAGCACTTACTTCATCTGTGGCTGTATTGGCTTTTTCAACTTTTACTTTGGATTCAGAGACTCTATTGAGAGCTTCAAGCAAGTTTTGATTTGCTCTCTCTGTAAAAAAAAAAAGACCCATTGAAGGTGGTTGTGGCTAACAGCAAGGCTCTGTTGCAAGCTGGTTCCTCACTTGGGGGACAGCGTATCCATTGGCAAAAATGGTCTCAGAAGCTCTTCAAACAAACCCTTCTTTCACAGACTGAACTTTCTGGTTTTCAATGGTGTAATATGTTGGGTACATCTAAAAATGAAGGGAAGAGAGAAAGGGTCAAATCTGGAGAGAAAGAAAAATCTGATATGCTTTACAAAATTAAAAAAAACAATTACAGTAATGTAAGTATAAATCAAATGCACTTGTAAACAACTGTTTGAGAACTAAATAAAGATGGAAAGAGTAGGTTTGTCATCATAAAACCACATGTTTTTATATTTGGCTCTGGCTTATTTCCAAGGCCCCTACATGGCTTTATGGGACTGATCTCATCAATTCCCACAATGCCTCTGTGATGTGGGCAAGAGAAAAGACATAACCTATTTGTGTTACTGATGAGAAAACTCCTCCAGGCCTCCTGACTCCTCACGTGCTCCATTATTTGCACTTACAATTTTTTTGCAGGTACAAAAACCCAAAGGGATATTCATTTGGCCCTAAAAATGAAACTCAAAACTGAAAACCAATCCTCTTAAGATGAGAATTTTTCTCCCTAAAGTTTTCTCTTTTTGGGGGGTGATCCCTCCAGGTATATGTTCAGACATACACAGTGCCTTTCTCAGGAAGGAAATGTGATGAGCCATTTATGATGTCCTTGTACCCCAAACACTCAACTTAAAATAGTTACTTGCTTGGTGACTCTCATGGGCTGTTTTTTAATTGCAACCTGAATCATTGTAGGCTGGAATGCACAAAGGAGGGAGGGGATGTACATTGCAGCTGCAACTAAACACCACAAACCATATCCTCAGTCATTATTATGGAGCCCTCCACCCTCAGTCATTATTATGGAGCCCTCCACCCTCAGTCATTATTATGGGGCCCTCCACCCTCAGTCATTATTATGGGGCCCTCCACCCTCAGTCATTATTATGGAGCCTGCCATCCTCAATCATTGTTATGGAGCCGTCCCAGGACTACGGCTGTAATACTAGTGACTCTGGAATCCAAGGACTTGACTTCTCATTGCTGCTTAAGCATGAGTCTCTTAGAGACTCTCCGTCTAGCACTGTTTCTGGATGGAGAAAGGGTAGAGCAGGATATGAGAGGTCTTTCCTTCCCCTGTGAAAGAAGGCAAACTGGTGGTACTATGTAAAAAGACCACTGGATTTGGAGCCAGAGGACTTGGGTTCAAATTCTGGATTTGTCCCTTTTTACCCATGTTACCTTGAGTAAATCAGTCCATCTCTTTATAGGCCTCAGTTTTCTCATCTGTAAAATGAATCGGTTGGACTACTTAACTTTTTTCTGGGTCATGGACATCTTTGGCAGACATGTAAAGTCTATGAACCCCTTCTCAGAATAACATTTTTAAATGCATACAATGAAATGCCTAGGATGACAAAGGAAACCAGTTATATTAAAATATATTATAAAATTTTTTTTAAAACAAGTTCACAAACCACAGGTTAAGAACTCCTGGGCCAGCTGACCAGCTCTAAATTTCTGGTCCTAAAGTCAGAGGTTTTTTTCTCTTTTGTGGTATTCTTAAAGTTTCCTGTTCTCCAGGTAGTAAATTTGATTTATTGCACTCTGAATGGCCAGAGCTGTTTAACTGGAAATGGTCGGAGTAAAATCATTTGGGGATGAGACTGTGAAGGGCTGTGTCTAGAAAAGAACCTGGAGAGTCTCTTAAGGAGCCCACTGGAAACTGATCACTTGATACACTGCATTCCAAAGTGATTGCCTTGAGCCTTGTTGTAGCTGAGATTTTGCCCCTCCCCCTTGTACATGATACCCTTGTACAGGTGGCCTCATCTCCACCCACCTCATTCCCATCCACCACCCACCATCCATCCTGGTTTGTTTGCATTTGAAGGGGGAAGACATCCTTGCTAAGCTTGTCCCGTGTGTTCTCAGATTTTTCTATCTTGTTCTTCTGCTTTCTCTGTTCCTTCCATTGCTTTCTGCAGGTATTTAAACCCATGGTTCAAAAGAGAATATAATGTAGCTAAGTGGGTAGAAGATGTGAATAAAAACTCTGAAGGACCATACTTTAGGTATTTGGTGAATTAATTCTCTATTCTTTTCAAACTAGCTCCACACCCTTTCTCCCTCCCCACCCCAACCCACCCCCAGCACTGAATAATACTGGGGTAGGGCTGGACTCTCTATCTTGTATCTCTCAATACAAGTCCCTGTGTGTGTGGAAAGGGCTCCTTGTTCATTTACTGTCTTCTGGTCTCTGTCTTCTTTTTTGTTGTTGTTGTGGTGGTTGTGGTTGTTGTTTTTGGCTTTCCATGCAATTCTCTTTCTTTTCTGAATGTTTCAAATAAAACCATTTGAAAGGGGTGTCATTAGTGCATGTCTTCTCCTCCTACCATCTCTCTAGCTTTTTAGTAGCTTCCTCTTCATTTTATGCTAAATAGTGTTTTACAGGCATGAGACATACCTTCCACTAATAAAGAAACATTAACCCAACCCAAATTTAGTTTATCTAATCCAATGGTTCCATAATGCATTCTCCCTGCCCATCCCCTCTATTAGAGAGGGCATCCTAAATTTGAGTGAAAAGAGGATGACAGAAGGCTGTGGAATTTTACCTCTTTTAAACAATGGATTGGATTTTTTTTCCCTATGACCATGAAGCTCATTGAAAGCATGATGGCTGCACGTGAAAATGTATAGGGTGGTCTTGAGTACTCTTTGGTTAGTATGATTACTAGGTATTGAGTAACAGTTACACCAAGAAAATATTTTCAAATCATTTTTATGGATTATCAATACTATAAGCAATCTTCATTATTATTATTATTAATAATTATTGTTATGTTTGGTCTGGACCTGAGATGTCATCAGTATAGGGATCTCCCAGGATGGAAACCCCCTTCTTCTAAAGCCTGAAGACTTCATGGTCTTTAAAAGAGTTGTCTGGGATGCTGAGAGTTTAAGTGACTTGCTCATGGCCATATGGAGCTAGTATGTGTCAGATGCAGGACTGGAATCCAGGTCTTCCTGACTCCAAGAATTGGCCCTTTATAGAGTAAATGTTACATTGCTTCTCACAGTTTTCACGCCAGTAATAAATTCAGCTCTTGGGTGCTTGAACTTCTTCTGTGGAGGCCACTTCAAGTGGAAGCCAAAAGCTTCAAGAAACCAATGCTCTTGACTTGCACACATACGAACTGTAATCCTTACATTGCAGAGGCTACCCAGTGTCCTGTTTAGATCATGGGACTGGACTCTGTGAAACTCTAGAAGTCAAAGATCACTTGCAGCAGCTCTGAATTGTGTTTCTAGTATTCAGTTGACAAGAACCACCTTTCATCCTGGTATTTTCCCATAGGCTGGACCTCATTTTTAACTTTGGTAACACTGAAGGCAAAGAAAGTTGTCATTAGAGGGAAAAAAATGGTCCTTTAAATACCTTCTCTTTTCACTGCAGCTTACAAGAGCACTTTCAGATAAGTGACTAGAGCTGGTATTTCTCGGGCAAGATTTTAAAGCAATTAAAATTTTAAAAAAGAGAGAGAGAAAGTGCACTCAGCACCCACATAGGTGGACTTTCTCTTCCAGGGTACCATTTAGAGTGACCTTGCAAATAGTTTGAGAAAATGATTAGGCCTACCTGCGTTTTAGCTTGACTCATAACATTTGCATATACCCCACCCCTGGCATAACCCCCTGCCTGACTTCACAGAGATGCCCTCCACTCACTCACGTGTACCCTGCCACTACCTTCACCCTCGGACATATCCTACCTTCCCACACTGGACCCTCCTACATACACACATGCTTATATTCAAACATCCCACCCTCACCTACAGCTCCCAAGATGGCCAAAGTCAACACGACAGGTAAGATCATTTTTATGGTTTCTTTAAATTTTTGTTCACCCTTGGCCCTATATTCCTAAGGCTTATGGGCAGATTCTAGTTTGTTCTACCCACCCCACCATCATTCCCCCAAGACTTGTTTGATCCTAGACTGATGGGTGAATGGCCATTATTTCTAGTGAACTAATTTAATGCCTATTCATAATAATTAACAAAATGGTACCCCGGAAGAGGTGTTTCCTGTCCACAAGG